CCATCTTGAAAAGTAAACTAGTATTAAAATTATTATGATTAAAATCATATTATATACATTATTATAGATATACATGCTTTAAATGGGTCAGACAGTGAAAAGAAAAATTTTTCTTTATTTTGTTTGTACAGTCATAAAAATGTTATGAATTTTTTTTTTTTAAGTTCAATAATTTCAGTTCATACAATCTTTCAGACTTATGCTCGTTTTTGATAGCCTAAAAATTACATAAAGATATGCAATTTTAATTAAAATAATCCATATCTTCTTAAGTTGAAGGGGAGATTGCCATCTAATTCATAAGATCACTTTGCCTTTACCTAATACTGAAGAACCAAGAGTGATCTATTATGGATGGTGTTTTCAATATAAATGTAAACAATAACAATCTCGAGCTCCATACCTGCTCGTCAAGACACGGTTCCCAGCAGATCACCGAAGTTCAGCATCACTGACTGCGGTCAGTGTGCGGGTGGGTGTCCACTTGGATTAGTCTGCGGAGGGACCAAGGGTGTGGTGCGGTATTGGTCCTTGTTAAACTGTTCTACCGTAAAGTGCTCGACTTCGCGTGCAGGTCGTCGGGCTACCGAAGCGGGGGTGCCATCCCCTCTGCAGAGGATCATAATTGTGATGGCATGTCTTCGGATCATCCTCAGGGGTGCTTCCCAGACCGTCGCCAATAGCCCATTGTGCAGCTCTAGTGCGACGTAAATTAACTACAACAACATACCTGCTGTAGATCCGGTTAGAAAGTTTGCAACTGCTTACTACAGCTTATTCTGCGAGGCGATATTTTCAAACGGATAATTTTGTTTTCAAATAACAGAAGCAATTTAGATAATTTCTGAGCTCAAATCTGCCGTATTTCATAAGATATTAATGTTATTAAGTAATTCTGGTGAGTTTGAAATAAAAATTTGTTTTAGTTATTAATAGATATATTGTTAAAAAAGGTGGCATGGTTGCTAGATTTTGAATAACTCGCTTTTTTGGCAGTCCTGATTTGGTCTCTTTCCATAAGTTTATTACTGTTTGTTCTTGTTGCAAGCTGTGCACCATCTTACGTTAGTGTTAGCACCTTTAGCATTGTAAACACAAGTAATCAAATACCACGTTTGCAAGAATCTCAAAACACAATGATCACGTTGTGAGCCAAATGGCTTTAAAATACACCGGAAACAATAACCCGGAAGTATAGGCGGTATGGAGCTTGCAGCGTTCCCTAGTGTAGAGAACACCATCCATATATGTTTTAACCAGATTGTTTAAAAACAACAAAACTCTAAACTTGAAGAAAAATATTAGACTCTTAAAGTAAATATTAAATATTTCTAACTTTTTATTGTCACAAAAAACAACGAACTGTTACGCATGCATTTGTTGTCATATATTAATAAATGTGAGAGATATTTAAGCTGTGAGATCTCTACTCTACAGCTATCTAACCTAGACACGGCCCTATGTTACGGCGCTCTCAATATGTGCACAGTTCAATAGTATTTTGATTAGTTGTTTAAATTAGAGAAAAATAGGTTCTAAATTTAAATGAGAAAAATTTATTCAAATAATTTGTCATTTTTATCCGCTATCAAAGCAACAAAAACTAAATTATACAGTTACCTCAGAAGGTTTAAAAAAAGAAGTTTTTTTTTTACAAAAAGCTAAGTCTACCGAGTTTTTTCTCAATGAAAAACCTGAGATTTGTCAAGTCTTTGATGAGAAATATGGTTTTTTTTCTTCAGAAGTATTTTAAATTTTTATAGCTAAGTCCCAAAGAAGATTGCAGGCTTTGCTTCGAACGTGAAAGTTAAATAGTTAGTAACTATTTATGCCTTGTTTTGTTGCAATGTAATCATTTTTGGGAGGGTTTATATTGCTACGCAAATTTTAATTTCTTGACGACAAACAGATTGCGGCATAAAAAATTAAAATTACTCAATTGAAAGATCCCAAAATTGTATTACTACTTTAACACTGGTTTTGGTCTAGAATCTAATGGAATAAAGTTCAAACTTAATAATTTTTTTAGTTGCCACTGCAACTTATTATTTTTTAAAATTTCCTATTCAACTTTTGATTACTTTGAAATTAGTTAAATGTTTTTCACCAGATTTAGCAAAATTGTGTAATGTTTATTTTTAATGAGAGTTTTATATCAATTATTTGAATATCATATCTTAGTTGGAAATGATTTCATATAAAGCTTATTTTAAAAGTAAATAACATATTCACTGTTTAACAATTGCAAAGGTGCGTCCGTGGCATCCCTAAAGCTACACATGCCTCCTGAATGGTGCTAAATGAGTAACAACTCTGCAGCCGAGATCTTGTTTTTGATCTTCTGATTGATCTTGCTACCAAGCATGATTGCTTATATGCCCGTCTTAAAATAGTGGATAATCCTGCCTGTCCCCTCTGCCGCAGTGGCACGACGATGAATGCTGAACATCTTCTCAACTGTTCAGTTCTCACAAAGAACTGCATCTACTCCCAATACTGGGAGGCCAGAGAACTTTTGTTCAATTTAAGTTCTTGATTTAATTTTTGTGTGTGATGTTTTGCTTTTGTATATTTCATATCTTTCTGTATTTTTCTTTTCTTTTGACCTCTGTACGGCGTTAGGATAATGTCTATCGCCTGCTGCATTGGAAATAAAGAAAACAATTGCAAAGTGGTCAAGTTTACCATTTTCAATGTATTGTTCATAAAATTTAAGAAAGTAATATTACAGGTATACTTTATAATAGGAGAATACCATTTTTAGTTTCAGATCTTTAATTTGAAATATCAATTAAAATCAAATCATAATAATAATAGAGATTAATGTTAAGAAAGGGTGATAAATTTATATTACAAGTAAATACCTTTAAATAATGAATAAATAAAGAAATTATAGGTAAAAAATACCTATGTATTTTTGTTAATTTTATGCTGATGGTAATTTAAGAAATTAAGATATGTTTAATTATTATCATTACGATTGTGCTGACAATATTGAAAAAATATTTTTGAGCATTTTATTGATGCCTTTTTTGAGAAACAAAATATTGTGGACATTTGTTCCACCTACAAACTGCCAATAAAATAAACATCTTTGTTCAAAAATTATAAATTTTCTTGAGCATAATTATACTGAAATTTCTTATAAAAATATTCATTTAAACAAGTTTTAATAGTATTAAATTAAGTCTTTAAAAAAAAAAGTGTTTGGAGATTAGTAGACCCTATATTTACCTGATGCATACAAAATTCTAATTCAACTTTTTAGCATTAATTCTTTTAATATACCATTATAAATGAAACATTTTAATAAGAATAAAAAGGAAAATTTTTTGGTTTACCCAAATATTTAGCTAGAGTGGCCCACAACTGAATATTTGGTGCAACCCTAGCAGAAAAATTTGAAAACTTGTTCTCCAAACAAACTTTTCAATCCTTTTTTCCCAAAAACTTCTTTTTCCACATTTTTTTATAACGAAAAAAATTATAAATTTAAATTTCTGCATTTAATTTTACAATTCAGAAAAAAAATTCTAAAATTTAATTAAATTTCAATGCAATTTTTAAAAATTGAACAAATACATGATAATATATAAATTTAGTTTATAAATTATATCCTAGAGTTCACTAAGACAATTCAATAGCTTTTTTAAGAAACAAATATTTTTGTCATAAAAATTTATTTTTCATAAATGTAGTAAATTGATTTAATTATTAATCAATTAATAATTAATTCAATTCTCCTAGATATCTAAAAATGCAAAATTTATATATCATAAGTTATGAAATGAATGGAAATTTGATTAATCAAAACATATTTTCACAAAAATTAAAAAATTTTCTTCAGTTTTTAAGACCCTAGATCCCCCCCCCTCCACCCAAAGATAATAACAGTTACTTTACTTTTCATATTAACAATTATTTTTCCTTTCTAATAAAAGGTACATTAGTATGCTTTTACAATAAGTTGACAGCGATTGTTTCCATGTCTTGGCTTAAATGACAAATATTTACAATTATTTTGCTTTTGAAGTAAAACCTATTGATTTAGTTTCGTAAATTTGATAACATCTTTGAATTTTATGTTTTGGCCACTGCGCACTTTCCTTTTACGAGTTATTTAAGTTTTTTTTTTATTGCAATTATTTCATTACTATTGTCACCAGCAAGAAACAAATTCAGGTGTTTTTTCAAGACTTCGTTGGAAATTTATTAGTAGAGACAAATAAAAATTTACAATGTTAACAAATATTTCAATGTTTGGTTGACATTTAGTGAGTGTTTAGATAATCTATTTTAAGGCATTTGGAATTCTTTATAACAATTTTAGATCTTCAGAGATTTTGACATCTTTAGAGATTTTTGTGATCTGTAATCACCCTGATTTCAGCTTTAACTTTGACTGCAGTGATCAAATTTTAAAATTAAATTCAAATAAAATATGTGACTTTAAATACGTTTTAGTTTTATACAATAAAATGCTAAAATTTACAGAAGGAACTTTTCAACAAATTTAAACTTTACTTTAAAAGTTTTCTAAGTATAATTTTTTTTTTTTTTTTTACATTTAAAAAAAAGCCTAAAAAAATCTAAAAATAAAAAAAAATCTACAAAAAAAGGATTTAAGTGTCTTGTCAAAGCATTATTCATTCACCCTGTCAGCAAAAGTTGCGAAAATATTAAACTAGACAAAAACATTAAAACAGGTTGATTGCATTAGAAAACGCAGATAATTCTAAAGGCTTTAATTAGAAACATATCTATCTTTTTCACCATTGCAGTGGAAGATCTTAATATTTTTGTTTCTCCCAAATATTCATTTATCTCCAGAATATTCATTTACCACTCCTCAATCCCTTCTTTTACAAAAATTTACATAAAGTATATTAAGGGAATGTACGACGATTTATAAACGAAAGAATTCAAATCAACAACCAAGTTATTTAGCATTACAATAAGTAAAAAGAAATAAGACCCAACTAAAATAAATTTCAGAACAATACAAAATAATCTCATTTAATTGGTATATATTTTACAAAAGTTTGAAAAAAAAATCACACACTATTCTCTCAAACACACCGTTGTCCCCATCCGACTAGTAAACGAATCCATCAAACTAAACCTATCCACAGAGTGATTTTAAGGAAAGTTGTCATCTGTCATTCACTAGCTGGTAGGTGTGACACGATTCATTTGAGGAAGGAAGAAATGAATACATGGGAAAATTTAGGCAGAAAAGTATTTCAAGAGGTCAGGTTCAATAGCCTAAAAAAGAAGAAAAAATTATACTTCAATGCCGATTGCCACACAAAAGTACTGTAGTCTAATATGGGCTATGGTAGTTGTAGGGATTAAAGGTCCTATGCTAAAGCTAATTTTATGACCAACGACATGATTGTGGCAACGTGGTCAGAAATGCACACAGGTAACCTTTGATTCAGAGACAACTTGAAGTAAAGGCAGTCTACGTGCCTTTACTTCATTAGTGGCAGCTGGATAGGCTAACCGCTGCTTGAGATCAATGCCTTGAGAGGACGCCATACTGTGGGAGAAACTTTCCATTGCATATTTTGTGTCATTTCTATTAGTATACTAAAATTAAAAGTCTAGACAAAATTGAATTTAGGTAAACTTAGAATAAACCAGGAAGTTTCAAACGTTAGAAGAAAAAAACACCAAGCCATTATGGCTCCAATTGCTATGTACAATGAGCAAAAAATTGTGAACACCATGAAAAATCTTTTATCGAATGAGCGGATATTACGTAATAAGCCTCAATGGTTTGAGAACCTAACATTAACCATGCTAGTTAAATAGTGTCTACGCTACTTTAAATAATAAAATCAGACACAAAAATGTATTTTCTTCAATGAAATTTTGACCTTTCAAATACGGGATCTAATATATTTAAAATTACGTACGTTAAAATGATGTAAAAATTTATATACCTTACAAGTAAGAATTTTGTAAGAGCATATTTAAATAAAATAAAAATTATTAAAAATTTACTTTTTTTTAAAGACTTATCCTAATATGAATAAATTTTATAATAGCATACAAAAATGTTTAAAAAGTTCAAGGCATTCTGGAATACGAAAAACAAAATCAATACTAAAGGGACAAAATTTTCAACACCTCCCTTGCTTTTTTCCCTCCGTGATTATATCCGACCATATATTAATACCTTTAATTTGTTGTTAGTTTTAGAAAGACCTTTTGGTCTTTCTAAAAATTTGTTTACTCCATTTAATTAATCAGCAGTAATAAACATCAGCACATCATGTAATATGCTGATTCTTTAAATTCTACGCTTAACTCAAAAGAGCTTTCAAATCAAATTTAAAAAAATGAAGAATTCAGTTAATACTTAAGTATTTAGTGGCATATTAGTTGAATTGATTTTGAGCTGTTAAAAATTAAAATCATTACATATTTTAATAAAAATCAACTGTAATTACCTAATCATATTCTTTAACTAACCTTAAGATAACAACATATAGGATGCATGTTACAGATATTTACTATATCAGGGTGTATAACTAAATTCTTCTACAAAACATAAGCACTTTTCAAACACCCCAAAAATATTTTTAAGCACTTCATTGATCATACTGAATTAATGAAGATATGCAGAGAATTAAGCAAACTTAGAAAACCAAATTAAACTCATAAATTAAAAGAACTAATTTATTCATAATTCTTAATTTAAGATAAAGGTTTTATTTAGCTAAAGAGGCTAATTCCACTTTAGTATAGAATTTCTTAGATTTGAATGAAATTATTTAGAATAGGAACATTTATTAACACAGGCATTTATAAACATTCTAAGCAACATGATTATACATACAATAAATATACATAAATAATTATATAAATTCTCAAATTGGGTATCTAATTAATTACAATGGGAAAAGATAAATGGAAAAGTTTAAACTGAAGTTTTAGATTTAAAAACAATACTTACATTTGGTTCAAAATTTGGAGCATATCTTTTAACTGGTTGGCCATTCTTATCAATTAAAAATTTAGAGAAGTTCCATTTAATGAAGCTGCAGAAAACAAGAAGTAATTTAAATTAATTTAATGCTCATCAAAATATTACAACTAATATATAAAAATTTTACAATATAAGCCACTATTCTAATTGTTTCCCCATGTTTAATTATTCATAAAAATTTAACAATGGAAGCTGTATTTTTAACAGGAAACAACAGTTTTAGACTAAATGTTTTCCATCCATATGAAAGTAGAGTATATTTATTTTACATAATATGTAAAAATAAAGTGAAAGTTGTAAAAACTATAAATAGTTCAAAAAACTTATTTACAAATTTAAGAATAAATGTGCTATACAGGAAGGGAGAGAGAAAATAATTTTTTTTCCAATCAGCAACCTAATTATAATGATTCAATAAATTGCATTGCGTTCCCAAGAGCCATTATAATCAAGTGATAAAAAGAGGAATTATTATTTCAAGCACACCTAAAATATACTAATAATTTTCTTTTTTTGGGTTCTTTTCTAATAAATTGTCTATTAGAATTACAAGCTAACAAACACTGGAAAAAAATATACATTAAAAACATTTTGTAAACAAATAGCTTATGAATTCAGTTAGAAGTTATGATCCCTATGGGGTTCTCAACAATTATGCGCCAACAGACACTGGATTTCTAAGTCAGGTCTTCTCGTATAATATTAGTTTCCTTTATTGTATATTTCCCCATAACTCAAACTCTTGGCAAAAATAAAACTTTTTTTTTAAAATTATATGTTAAAATCGTCAGTCTAAAGATAATATGAAAAATATAATTCAATACTTTTATTACATTTTATAACTCAACTTATTAATGGTAGAAAATGTTTTGAATTGTAAAGTATAATTTTTTTTATCTCATTTTAAATTATTTAATCCTAAATGGCAAAATGCAAAGTTCTAGCAAAAAAAGACAGGTGTGACTTGAGATCAATGTCACTGAGACAATTAAAAATATTTATTGATTGATTGAATCAGTAGAATACATAAAAAAGTTGCAAAAGCAGACTTTCAGTCATCGGACAAGTCACAGTAAGCCCTTCGCAGACTATGCTTTAGAACCAGTGAGCAAGCTTCTTGACTTAATCCATTGTCCAGAAAAGAAATGGATTTCTTTTATGGATTTTTCAAGTACTAGTACAAATATGAAGTTTGCCAAGAATGTAAAATTGCTGGATGAAGGCAATGGGCATGAATTCTGGGTATGATAAAGTTTAAAATTGTCTGTCATGTTTTAACATTTTCTTTTCCTGTACTATTTGATCACTAACCGATTTTGCTCAGACTTTGGATTTTGTCCGATGCGATTAGCAAAAATTAAAATTTAAAAAATGTGTGTTAAAGTTGTTTGATAGGCTAAAATAATTATTTAGGATATGGCAAAATATGCAAGAAGGGAGTCTAAGCTTTTGCCTCTTCAGCTGACTAGTCACACTTCAATGAAACCAAATTTTACAGTTTTGGGCTGCCACCACAATTAATTCTATCAAAATTTAGATTAATACTTTTTATTTCATTTTATAACTAGCATTGAACAGCTCCTATATGCTTTTTACGTTAGTTAAGCTTTTAAAAATCTTTTTCCTTAAAAGCATTAACATTCGTAAGGTTCTTTTTAAAAAAAAAAACTCTAATTATTTTCAAAATACTGATGTTCAGCTATGGAATTTTAGACACTGTGGCATCTGAGTGCTTAGGATTTGTAATCATCTGCTAAAGAGATTAATTTAGAAAGAATTCAATAACTGTATTCAGAAAACTCAGAGAATAGAATTACACGAAAAGTTATGTTACAAATCATTAAAATATTTACAATTCTATCATTATAACGATTTGTAAAAATAAACAGTTCGAAAATTATACTTAGAATATTCAGAGAATAGAACTAATAGTGAAAATTTTAAATTTCCAAATTAAATTAATTAAGCCACTAAAATATTTACAAAATAAAATGTCTAATTTTTTAAATACTTTAACATATGTATGAGAATTTTATTACATGAACATCAGCAGGTGCCTCCTGCAAAATTAAGCCAGAAAAAGGTTTTATTTTTTTCACAATAAAATATTAAATAGTTTTGTTGCTTTTCACTTGCTAAAGAGTAAATAAAATAATAATCAAACTATAAAAAAATAACCAAGTTAGTTAAAACAAACCAAAAATATTTTTTTGAAAGAAATAATTACATTTTAAAAAAAGGTCAATATAATACAGATTTAAACAAATTCAGTAATAAGAAAGGAACACCTAGATAACTTTTGATAGTTCTTGAACTTAACTATTTAAAAGTTTAATCATAAATACACGAATTTATTTGCAATTTTCAAATAGAAAATCATACTTTCTCTGAATAAGAACATTTTCTTTTTAAGAAGCATTTCAAAAATTAGAAGGAATCTCATATTAAATATTAATTTCCCTTTTCATGTAATTTAGCATATCTTGAATAGGAACAGACAGAAAATTCAATTAATCAGAAATTATTCAGTTAGTTTTTATTTAAAAATACTTAGTTTAAAATCGGCCAAAATTATTAAATACCTTGAAATTCAATTTCTTTTGCATATTACTAAATTAAACAATAAAAAAAGTATAAATTATTTTAAATTATGTTTCACATGATACTATCTTTAGATAAATAAGCTTTATAACTGGACACAAAAAATGTAATTCATTCAATCAAACAGTTGCATAGCAAAATATCCAAAAAGCGCTAATACACAAAAGCAGCAAATTAGAAAAAAAGGAATTATCTTCACTAAGAGAAAGTATAGCATTGTGATCAATTTTTAAACATAAAATTTCAATTAACAAAAATTTAATTAACGTATTTAAGTTTAGACAATCAAACTGTTTTCATTGCAGATTAGTACATGATAATCCAACCACTTGATCTAAATATATACTTACATATTCTTGTTTCTTGCATTGCGCATACAGGGTACAGCAAATTGATTTTTCTTATTTCAAAATCAAACAAAGAAAGATATAAAAAAAATATCTCCATCTATGAACAAATACAACACTGTCTTACATTACCTGTATATAAAAATTATGTCAGGTAAATGGCCTCCTCCATCCTAATAATGTCACTGAAGCTACATGTTTAACAAGCGTAACATTTTCCGGCAATGTTAAGGCCAGAAATTGATTTTTAGTGCAGAACCTGTGGTTCTGAATTTTGTTACCCAAATGTTTCAAAAGAGGATAATGTTAGCCTGGTTGAAATGAAATGCTAAATACTAACTGAGTAACAATCATAGAATCACTATTAAGAATATACTCCTTGACAATACGCGCACGACTATCAACTATCGATTGATACTCCTTCTGCCTTCCGATCTCTACTACAACCCCCAAATGCAGGAAGTCAATTTGCCGGAGCTTGGAATAGCAAACAATGAGGGTAAAACGTCAAAATCAATTTTTTTCACCATTGAATCAACAGAATCTATAAAAACTAAACAAGACGGTAACAGTAAATAATAAAAAAAATATACCAATAAATAACACTTACTCTCCTAGGGTTCCCCCTTGCTTCTTCTTCAAAAAAGAAAAGAGTGGGTGGGTATTTTTACCATTCACATCAATTTTGCTAAACATGTCAAACTGAACATTATACTTTTTAACAAATTCTTTAATATCTGCCTCAGTTCCTGGTTCCTACAAAGAAAAAATAAATTTTTTTCACATACAACACATCTTTGAATAAATTAAAGCACATGTTTATTATTCCTAACAGAGTCCCAACTTTATTTCAGAAATAATATTCCCTTGACTCACCTGAAAAAGTTCCAAACTACATTTTTATTACAGAGCAATATTTCATCAACGAGATACTTTGTTTCAATCTGTAAGTAATGAAACTTGCTTTTTTGCAGAAAATTTGCAAAATATTAAATTTTGTAAAGAACAGCATTTATCAAGGCAAGGAAATTTTACAATCCAAAAGTATATCGATATAAATTGTAGATAGAAGCAATATTTTGTCCAAAAACTAGAAAAATTAGTCACAAAGTGATTATCATTTACCTTACTTGTGAATAAGAATCATATATGCACTCAGATTAATTTTAAAAATAAATTAATACTAGTCTATTGAACAGCGTTGAACTGCAAGTATGGCTGTTTTTAAGATTTAAAAAAAATGAAACAAAGCAAATAGAGAATATTTTGAACAAATTTCATGAAATCTTTACGTGAATCAATTATACCAGATACATTAACTAAGTCTAACTGTATAATGGATACATTTAATACCAAAAAAAGATAAATAAACACATTATCTCCACTTAAAGATCAATCTTTAACACATTTAAAAGAGTGATGAAACTTAAAATGTTACATTCTGAAGAAATACCCCATAACTGTTTTGTAACTAACATTCTCCACACACAATAACACTCCATGCAAAATTGAAAGATGTGGATTATACTTCTTGAAGAATGAGAGAAAAATTGAAAGAAATTGAAGAATGAGAGTTAAATATTACGGGGAAAGTTTAAAGGAATCCATATGAAAGCTGTTTATGAATAGAATAAAGTTATGGAATTACTATCATCATTCATTGTCAATGACTATTACTCAATCATTCATTAAGGTAAATCTTCGATAAATGTCTGAGAAGTGCAGGATATTTTAAAATAAACTTACTGCAAAGAAAAATAAATACAAATTTGCAATATTCCAATTTATAAAAGCAATTGTTTCTTGAAAAAACATGACGTAAGAAAGTGGAGGCACTTAATTACGAAAATACGAGCTATCTGGCGGGCGGGTAAAAATGCGGATAATTTTGTCTTTTGAGTGTAAAAATAGCTAAAATAAATAAAAATGCAGAAGGGTTGGCAGATATGTAGTTTGAACTTTCTGTTCATTTCTGAAAACCGGAAATAAATATAATTATTTCATTTCAACGACTGAATTTTCCGAAAAAGCTGATTATGAAAAGTGAAACTTTTAGATAATCAGAGTTTTCAATAAAAAGAATGAAATTCGAGAGACAAAAGTGAGGAAAAAAACGGAAGTCCTCTAAAAAGTGGAAACATCTCATCCCTGAAAATATTATTGGCCAGGCCCACCGGAACATGAGCAAGGGGCCGATCCAACCTCAGATGGGTTGACTGCCTAGAAAAGGATTTAAGAATTATTAATAGGAAGACCATTACCAAAAATAAAGAGGCTTGAAATAAAAGTCTTGAGAAAGCCAGGGTCCACCCACGGCTGTCGTGCCATTGAAGAATTAAAAGTCTTGATACTTCAAAGATAACTTTTTTTTTTATAATGAACTTCTTTATTTTGCCAATCAATACATAAAATAATATGAATGTGAATGTTAATAGATAAACAAAAAGATGAAAATTCATATTTTAAATATGAACATATTCATATTTTAAGTAAAATTGGACCTGGAAATATGGAAGTTTTGAATTCTAAGGTTTCGGTAATTTCAAAAGTACAGCAGAATAATAGAGTATTATGATATTGCTGAACTACTTTAGAAAATTCGAGGAATGTTATACAATTTTTTTTTTTTTTTTAACCAACAATGTCAAAGGAAAACAAGTATATTGTTTTGGGTTACAGTAGGTGAGTGACTGAATTGAGATTGCTACATTTAGATGTGGTAGACGGAGCTTTACTTATTGTACATGCTTTCCAGATGTTCCTTTTCTGCTAAGAATCACCTAGAGTTCTTAACCTTTTGTAGGGGAGATTAAATATTAAAAAGGTATTCTTTTCATACCTTGTATTTTTCACGAGGAATTAACCCTTTATGGATATACAAAGAAATATCAAAAAATACTTTTAACATACCTGACCTCCAAACTGATTGCAGGGAAATCCCAAAATCCTCAAGCCATTAGATTCTCCATGTTTTTCATAGAGAGCCTGCAGCTGTGAGTAATTTTGGGATGTCAAACCTCACTTGGAGGCAACATTCACAATTAGGGCAACGTGACCTCTGAAAAAGAAAGAAAACTTTAGTAAATAACAAACCTCACAATCTCATACACGCAAGAAAGAACTGAAAAGTCATCAAAGTTTTAGACAAGAGAAAAGGAATTTCACAACACTGCATTTTCAAATATTGAATTTTAGTATAATAAAACCAAAAAACCAATCAACACATTTTTCTAATAAATTGCATAACTTAATTTTCTGTTAATGGAGTTTCTTTTGTTCAAAGTAATATAAAGTGAAAATCATCATATTTCGTTTTAGTAACTGTAGGAAATAAATGAAAATACAGTCAATTTGCAATAACTCATATCTGATAAGACTGTAAAAAGATTTTAACTTATACAAAGTTAAACTTAGCGTTAGTTTTAATTTTTGATTTTAAGATAAAAACAACTGTTTTTTTAACAATAATTTATTTTTTCATATCCTTTACAATCGGATTCTTATCCAAATCTTAAAAAGCTTGATTTTATCTACCACATTATAGAATTCTGAACTTTTAACATATTTAGCAATAAACACTTTTTATATACAAAATTAGCAGTTAATGATAAACACAAACCTCATTCAGAACTAGGTTGGTTTGCAATATATGAGAAAAATATATGTACATGGTGTCCTAAATTCCAAGAGATGAAAGTGGAATATTAATAAAAGGCAAAGAATAGAGACAAAAGAGAATATGTTAACTCATTTCCCACAGGTGTTTTTCTCTCTCACGTAAGTCAATTTCTACTAACTGACAGTTTTTTGGGCATAGATTGCCAGATAAGGAAATATTGTTAACTCTTTGGTTACTATTATCTTATTTGTTTATTAACTTATTTTTATTTTGCTTTTGTTAATTATTATAATAGTTCACAGAGTTTTTTAAATGGGAAGGACAGTAAAAAAAATTTAGTTATAATATTTCAAATTATACTAACGCTAACTGTAATATAAAATGTTATTTTTACTTCCAGATCTTACTTTGTAAGCACAAAGCTATCTTGTAAACTGATTTTAATAATTGTTATCATATGTTAAGTCACTTTACTCAGTGATAACTGTTTTACAACTCACTTCTGTTGTTAAACTGGTTAAACCATCCAACTTAGAAACTGACCAATGAATCCATAGATTGTAGTTGCACAAATTATGAAAAATCTTTTTGTATAGTTGATATGGTATATGGTTTGTAAAAAACAAAACAGGAATAAATAAAAAATCCCTATCAGCAAGGCACCTACAAAATAGTAGCTTGTACTAAAAATTTTAGCAAAGTTTAACTTGCTTTATTTCTAAATTGAAAAAATTTAAATTCGGTATTTGCTTTAAATAATAAAAGGTACATTTGAAAATTATGCAGGTATGTAATAAAATTTTAGCCACTTTATTTTAAGATGAATGCAACTTTAAAAAATAATAGTCTTACATAAATTCACAAAAGCAAAAAGATGTTGTGCTGTTCTCTACTCATATTAACTCCGACCCATTTCGAACTTATGTAGACTAGACTCCGATTTGGCATTGTAAATTTCTTCTACAAATTAAATAAACTTATTTAAATGAAAAAGGAATTTTCTATATATATACTTAATCTTATTTTCAATTAAAGTTTTTATTGAAATACGATCCAATTGCTTCAATGATACGACGGGACATGTAAAGAAGATACCGCAGCGCGATTGCACATACCATGGCACACAGTAAATATTCAAACATTTATTTACTATTACTATTCAACTTAAACTCTTTATTTCAGCATACTTATAATTGCATTGTGATTAAAATTACATGCAGCAACATTATTAAGCTGATCAGTTTAAAAAAAAATTTCTCATCCTTAAATACGATTTATTTAATGACAAAATTATACGCAACAAATCACCAGCAAATAATTTTTTATTCAGTTATTAATTCAAAAAAATAAATTGTCATTATAAATAAAGAATAATTTTATTAGTGAAGCCTTTATTTGATAAAAACTTGCTGACCATTTATAATTCTTTACAGACCGCTTTGGTAAATAAATTTGTAAATTATTGGTAGATTTTTAGCTATAACTGACAACCAAAAGCAAAAAATGCTCCTCTTAAAGTTATAATCTGTTTTATGTTAGCTTGAGATCTTATTTTAGAGTGATAGAGTGACACGGTTAAAAAATAAAACAAATCAGGGGAAGATTACCTAGGTAAGTATTGCTTACTAAAAAATACAAGAGTTTTATTTCAAGAACCAAAAATTAAATAAAACTTTTTCACAATCATTATTTACCTGAACAACAACTACTTAATTGCCTAATAAAATTTTTTCCAAATTAATATCAGCAATGTAATAACATTCTTAAAAATGTCATGTAAGAAACATGTTTGCTCTAAAGTATCAATAAATTAAAATAAAAAATGGAACCAAATAAAAAAATGCGAGGTATATATTAAAGAAATGAGAAATCAGAAATGAAAGTAATAATTTTAATTTGATACATTATCAAATAACTATATAAAAACAAAACTAGATGACTACACATTTTTTTATTTGCTTCTCAAGCTACTACTGAATAAAAATTTATCATGTTTACAACTGATTACAAGTAAATTATGTTTACTACTGATTAAAAGTAAATTAAATTTACCATTGATTATTATTTGATACAGCTGAGGCTGTGTGCAGGTCCTTTGATCCTATATAGTGTCTTATTGATTTATTTACCATGTCCATAGCACGACAACCAACCAATTATTATATATATCGCAGAGACAAATTTTTCAGCGGGAGAATGCTAAAAATTCCGGCATTTTTGCAAATTTTTAAAAAAAGAAAATAACAAGTCAAAGTGCTACAGAAGCTTTTGTTGCAACCTTTATTTGGCTTAAAGTATTGCAACCACTTTAGAGTAAGTTTTTCCCCATTTAATTTCATAACATAATTAAATGCAAGCTGCCAACCTCTAGTTATAAAAATGCAGAAGATGGACAAAAAAATGCAGAAGAAATGCCTAAAAATGCAGAAGATTCGCAAGCGCATACTAATTACCAATAAATTTATAAAAGAAGCGGATTTTAATTATCTATTTATAAATCCACTTAATATGAGCATAAAAAAGCAGTACTCATCTTTTTTTTTAAACAAAAAAGGAAATATCTTTTTAAAAAAACTTTTGACCAGCTACTTGATGGTACAATATTCATTTATTAATTCTTGATTAAAAATGTAGTTACGGCCCTGCCAAAGGCTGTTACAAGAGGAACAGCGACGTCTGACTTAAAGAAAATACTAGCTATCAGGAGGATGGGTAAAATGCAGAAGATCTTCTCTTCTGCTCATAAAAGAGGTAAAATAAGTAAAAATGCAGAAGGCTTCTGCAAAATGCAGAAGGGTTGGCAGCTATGTAAATGTATATGTATAAAACCTTATATGTATTATAATTTTTTATCCAATGCAAGGATATGTTTAGGAAAATTCAAGAAAAACATTTTTAATTAATATACATCTAAAATAAAAAATAGCTTAGTTAAAATGACGATCAGTAAATTAAAAATTTTACAATTAACAAAAAATTACGAAGTTGGCATTATTTTCTCATTTGGAAAAATCAGAGGGTAGGCCATTCCCTTTTGCACCCTACACCCCTGAATATTATTAATAAAAAAATGTCTTTATAAGTCAAAAGTGACTTGAATACTTTTCTGTGGTAAAAAAAAAAGACATAGTATAGTGTTTTTCATAATCTATGGATAAATAATGTTACACAATATAAAGATGAAAGCTATGGATGCTTTGGCATTCTTGATAAAATGTTAATAAAATTTTACATACCAGTTATTTTTGGAAATTAAATGAACAAAATTAATTTCTTTAGAATTTAAAGACAAAATTATTCAAATTTAATAATGTAAAATTTTTGATCTTAATTATACAGTGAATTCGCGATAACTCGAATCTGATAGGACTGACGAAAAACTTCGACNTACTTCAAAGATAACTTTTTTTTATAATGAACTTCTTTATTTTGCCAATCAATACATAAAATAATGTGAATGTTAATAGATAGACAAAAAGATGAAAATTCATATTTTGAATATGAACATATTCATATTTCAAGTAAAATTGGACCTGGAAATATGGAAGTTTTGAATTCTAAGGTTTCGGTAATTTCAAAAGTACAGCAGAATCATAGAGTATTATGATATTGCTGAACTACTTTAGAAAATTCGAGGAATGTTATACAAAACTTTTTTTTTAACCTCACAATGTCAAAGGAAAACAAGTATATTGTTTTGGGTTACAGTAGGCGAGTGACTGAATTGAGATTGCTACATTTAGATGTGGTAGGCGGAGCTTTACTTACTGTACATGTTTTCCAGATGTTCCTTTTCGGCTAAGAATCACATAGAGTTCTTAACCTTTTGTAAGGGAGATTAAATATTAAGAAGGTATTCTTTTCATAACTTGTATTTTTCACAAGGAACTAAACCCTTTATGGATATACAAAGAAATATCAAAAAATACTTTTAACATACCTGACCACCAAACTGATTGCAGGGAAATCCCAAAATCCTCAAGCCATTAGATTCTCCATATTTTTCATAGAGAGCCTGCAGCTGTGAGTAATTTTGGGATGTCAAACCTCACTTGGAGGCAACATTCACAATTAGGGCAACGTGACCTCTGAAAAAGAAATAAAACATTAGTAAATAACAAACCTCATAATCTCATACATGTAAGAAAGATTTCAAAAGGCATTCTTACATTTAGTACACAAAAAGAAAGAAAGAAAAAAAAAAATATGAATTTTATAGTTTAAAACAACAGTCATAAATTTTTTTAAAAAAAAAGACACTAAAAATATTAGGATTAAAATGGTACAAGCAATGAGATTAATAAAGAAAGTTACCAAAGAAAAAATAAATATTACAAAAACAAAAGAAAAATATTTTGCCGACAACATTTATGTAAGGTTCAAAGCTATTTAAACCTCAGTTTTAAAATGTAGCATGATGCACTGAAAATAGTGATTATTGTAGTAATTAAATAATGGCATTTATTATTAGTTACTCATTCTTAGTAAAAGTGAAATATTTATCCGGTAGACAATATTGTGGTCCTACAATGCTTAGAATTTTTTTTTACATTTTTAATAAAACATTTAACATAGCAGTTTCACTTTAATATGTTCTGTTAAAAACTTAGCTCTCACAGACAAGTAGTGCCATCTGTTGATCACTGTTTAAACTTTTTGTAAGTAAATAACCAAATAGGATTTTTAGTAACTTAGCAGTCTATTTAACTAAATAAAATAGGTATTTGAAGACCAACGAATACATAATAGTCATGGATGGCAAATTCCTTTTCACAGCGGTAAAAAAAGAACAGAAAAACTGTCCCAGCAGAAATAGGTTTCTTCCCACTCAAATGGAAGAAATAGAATTTTTTTTAAAGAAATATCAAACTTCAAATTAAAAAGTAAAGCTACTTTAATTGCAATCCACTTTTAATAGTATTGATTTCTAAGTCATTTAATAAATCATTTCAAAATAAATGCAAATAAAAAATTGGAACAAAAAATAAATGCAATGATTATCTTAAATTAAAACAAATTAATTTCTTTCCATGTTTTGCTTAAAAGAGTATAGTAGAACTTTATTTTATAATTACACAAAGAACTTTCTAAATATTGGAATAAAATTAAAGATTGTACTATGCTATGAATCACACATTGGAATTACAAGTGCAAACAACATACTTACTTTTATAATCAAATGCTGCTATATAGTTTGCTAAAGGTATTTATCAATAGATATTTTTAACACAGATTTCGTTTCTACATGACAAAGCATGAAATTGAAAATTAATTATAATTTATGAAATAAACCTAAGTAAACTAAAACCTAATATGTTTCATTTTTATTTTTCAAATTGATGATTAGTTACATAAAATTTTAAAAAACTTTAAAAGTGGTAAACAGCTTTAAAGTTCTTTTAATATTTGTATTGAAAATCATAAAAATATTCATGAAATATATTTTCAATTATATTTTATATATTAAAAATAAACATTGAAAGTTTCAGGGGTCTGTCCAGACATTTAATGAAAGGTCCGTTTTTGTAAAATTGTGAAAAAATCACTCGTATTTTTGTGAATATAAAATAAACGTTAAGTCACATTCTNTAACTTTAGGGTGAAAATTAGCTCTTAATATTTTATTGTTAAATAATATCAGTTAGTCTTAATAAAAAGAAAGTTAATTGTTAACAAAATTACTATCTAAATTTCTTTTTAAATTAACGCTGGCATTGCATTCATTGCAGAATTATTTGAAATTAACAATGGCACAATAATTATCAAATCCAAATAAAAAATTAATTATAAAAAGTTATATAGATATTAAAATTCTGCATAAAACTAAGATAAAAATAATTTTTAAAAAAAATTAAATGCAAATTTTCTTTATTTACTTTCTTATACTATCTTAAATTTATTTGCCTAAAATTTTGTCAAGTTTCTTGACAATAGTTTATATTACCCTGGCCTAGGAATGAAAGTACCAGTTAGCAAAAAAAAAGCTGAATTCTACATACTCAATCAAACATTATGAAATTAATAAATGTATGGAGCTTAAAAAGCTTTGAAAAAAGCTGAAATCAGAGTAAAAGCTGAAAACTTTCATGCCTGCTGGCAATATGGTTAACTTTAATGTTTAAGGNTTTGTGAAGGGTCCGATTAAAAGAAAAATCATTTTGTGAAGGGTCCGTTTTTAAGTTAAAATATTTTGTGAAGGGTCCGTTTTTATTAAAAGATATTTTGTGAAGGGTCCGTTAATGGACCCTAATTTCTTCTAAACAGACCCCTGAAGTTTTCAAATATAAATTTCATAGTTAAGTTTTTTTCCTTCTTAATTTGATAGCTTTACAGTATTTAGCTTAGGATTTCTAATATTATAACTTTAGGGTGAAAATTAGCTCTTAATATTTTATTGTTAAATAATATCAGTTAGTCTTAATAAAAAGAAAGTTAATTGTAAACAAAATTACTATCTAAATTTCGTTTTAAATTAATGCTGGCATTGCATTCATTTCAGAATTATTTGAAATTAACAATGGCACAATATTTATCAAATCCAAATAAAAAATTAATTATTATAATAAGTTATATAGATATTAAAATTCTGTATAAAACTAAGATAAAAATAATTTTTTTAAAAAAATTAAATGCAATTTTTTTTATTTACTTTCTTATACTATCTTAAATTTATTTGCCTTAAATTTTGTCAAGTTTCTTGACAATAGTTTATATTACCCTGGCCCAGGGATGAAAGTACCAGTTAGCAAAAAAAAGCTGAATTCTACATAAACGCAATCAAACATTATGAAATTAATAAATGTATGGAGCTTAAAAAGCTTTGAAAAAAGCTGAAAACTTTCATGCCTGCTGGCAATATGGTTAACTTTAATGTTTAAGGTAAACATGTTTATGAAACACATTCAAACCTAAAAATCAAAATAAATATTAGAATTAACTTAATCATCATCCATTGTTTGTTTTTTAATTTGATTTATAAAAAAGGGGCCATAAGTCATACAATCAGCAATTAAAGATAAATTATATTTTTATTTCTTTATAATAAATTCAATTATTTTTTTTGGCATACTAATATACAACAAACAGTGCACTGTTTTTAACAGCCTAGTATAAAAACATGAGAAGTTTAAAAATTAACACACAAATCAAAATGTCAATTCATATTTGAAAGAAAGTAGAACAAAGAATAGGTAAAATAGAGTTATATGAAGTTTTTTCAACAAATAGTGGTATTACTAAAGCAAACTGCTAAAAAATATAGAAAAGAAAAAAAGAAGACAGGTCAATCCATTTTCATATACAGCTTTTTTTATGCAGGAAATGAAAAAATTGAAAATTTTAGTTTTAAATTTTATCACACCTTAGTATATTTGTAATCATTTGTATTATATCAGTAATCTCAGGTCTTTATAATTGTATTAGCACTTAATTTAGCAATTTTAAAGAGTAAAGCGCTACATTTTAATTAATTCAAGGGTAATAAAGATCAAATACCATTGGACAAGAAGATTTATTTCATCCATACCTATATTTCTCTAGAGACACTTCATTCCCATCAATATCTATAGCTGAAAAGTCATAGATGGACTTTGCAGACTTCCAGTCAGCATTTCCAGTTGCCTAAATGTGAAAAAATACAGCAAATAAGTAATAACATCAAGGATGTTTGTGACACAAAGTGAAAAACCCTGAAAATGTGCAAAAAATCAATATCAAGATATCAATAAAAACCCAAAAGCAGAAAGTGCCTAAAACTGTGACCAGGGGTCTGTTTAGAAGAAATTCGGGTCCGTTAACAGACCCTTCACAAAATATCTTTTCATAAAACGGACCCTTCTCAAAATATTTTAACTTAAAAATGGACCCATCACAATATAATTTATCTTTCAATCGAACCCTTCATAAGAGACACTCAAAAGACATTTGCTTATTATTGTAAATGGCGGGAAAAATTGACTGATGCTGAGTGTTCAGCTATTAATAGATATTTTCAAATCTACTGGCAATCAATGTATATTTGCTCCAATATTTTGTTAATCATGTTTTTCTGCTTTAATTCTAACGTTAAGTTTGATCTAATTTATATTATGTACCTTAACCTCTTCGAAGTCAAAAAAAAATTATGAATTCCAAATGTAGTATTCTAAGAAATATTTCGATTTCTATAAACATCGTGTATATTCTTATTGATATTAAATGATTTTTTTTGTATATAAATAATTGAGCGCAATATATCGTTCATAAAATTAATTGATAAATTATTATGTAAATAAAAAATAACTTATGTCAATTTTTAAAAAAAAAATTATAAATTTAAGAATTGATTAAGTTTACTTAATGTGTAACACATTAGAAGTGATACATAACCAAGTTGTGTTTTTTAAAATATGTTAATTGAAATTATTAAAAATGTGAGTGATTATGTTTCGATTATTCATCCGAAATGAATATTCTGTGTTGTGCTGTATAGGCTTAATACCAAATATTTTATTTCTATGTTGCATCTCTAATTTAGTAGCAGCAACAGCTGTTAATTTTTGAAAATTTATTTTTTTTTATTATAATTTTACAGTGTTGAGCATAATCTTGTATTCTTTTACAATTTAAAAACTCCTTGAAAAGGTTTTTTGTAATAACAGGACCCTATTTGCATAAATTCACAAAATAGGAACCCGGTTGAAAGAATGTGACTTAACACGTATTTTATATTCACAAATTACGAGTAATTGTTTCACAGTTTTGCAAAAACAGGACCTTTCACAAAATGTCTGGAAAGACCCCTGGTGACGTATGTCGCAGAACAAACGAAATCTTGCAGAACAATTTGTATCTTGAATAAGTGACAGCGTTTTCCTGCGAACCCCCCTTCCCCGTCCACCTGCCTCCAGTAGTCTTGCTGAACAATCCCCAACCCTAACCTCATACTTTCCTCTGTAGACCATAATGACCTGAAGGTTTAAAAGCTTCCCCTCATAATCTTGCAGAACATTTCCTCCCACCTCATTCATCACCCCCCACTTTCCTCTCTAACAATGAATAGATAAGGATAGGGCACTTTCCCATTGGCTTTTTTTTTTCAAGGAGTTCCTCTGCCAGATTTGCCTGTTAGTTCCAAAAGACTATGCTCTGTCTTAAATAATTTTGAGCTTTCTATATTTTCCTCAGATGCAATGCAAATGATCATCTACATTGATTCCATGTTGAAGCACTATAAAATATATTTTGAGAAAGAGGAAAACGTTGATATTGTTATTAAACGAATGAAAATTCTCTGTAGTTTTGACCACTTGCTGTTTCCCAGGAATGATGTTGCTTTAGAAGAGGAGCATTTGACACCATCCACAAATTTCAGCACATTTATCAGTAATCTCCCTCTCCCATATGTTTGCCATTCTGAGGAGGAAATTAATGAGTTAGCTTTTGGCTATAACATTTTTATAAAATGACTGTATCAGTTGTTAGCAGACTGGAGGAGAAATTGATCACCCTTTTTATCAAGATTGCTTCTAAAGCAAGCCGTAAAAGAATTAAATTCAGAGATTTCCGATTTCATAAAGTTTATGAGGTTTATATTTTCCATTCCCATTTCCGAAGCAATTTGTGAATCGTGGGTATCCACGATTGACAGAATTGTTTCTAAAAGTCCAAATGCTTTTGATAGAGATGAAGAAGTTGTTGGAACAACAGACCAGCGAATGTTTGTGTTTGCAAATGGTGCACCATCTGGGCAGTTGTCGCCTCGAAAATGTTTTAAGGCAGCCCTAATTTTAATGTTCGAGCCTTCATATCATAGGCATTTTATTAATAATTCATCATAGGCATTAACAAAATTTCATACTTCAAAATTGATTGAAAAAGTAACAAATCAAGAATGTTTGCCTTGATTTAAAAAACAATGTAGTGTATCTGTGTATGATCCTGTATTTCAATAAATAAAAATATAGTATTTTAACGTAAAGTTCCTGCTGCAGAACATTTGAAAATATTCTGCTTATGGGAATTAAAATACCAAACATGTTTTAAATTTAACAGAAGTTTTTGAACTAACATTCATAATTATATTACCAACTAATAAAGTACATTNGTACAGTAGGGAACCGATTATCCGGAACGATCGGGACCATCGATATTCCAGACAACTGATTTTTCCGGTTTTCTGAATCGCTACAAAAAGCCGTTTTTTTTTTATTGTTAAACCCAACTAAAAAAAAAATTATTAGGAAATAATCTTAAAAAGAAGAAAAAACTATGAAGTAATACAGTAATGATTATTTCTAAAATGATGGAACGGTAAACATCTTTCAAAAAAGAAAGAAAAATCCTAAAATCTTACGAGGGAAATTTTTTTTTTAAAAAAAAATGGCGGGAAAATTTATCAAATTTCATTCCGGTTTTTTGGTTTTCTGATTTCCGGATAACGGGTTCTGTACTCTACTTCAAAAGTGATTGAAAAAGTAACAAATCAAGAATGTTTGCCTTGGTTTAAAAAACAATGTAGTGTATCTGTGTATGATCCTGTATTTTAATAAATAAAAATATAGTATTTTAACGTAAAGTTCCTGCTGCAGAACATCTGAAAATATTCTGCTTATGGGAATTAATATGCCAAACATGTTTGAAATTTAACAGAAGTTTTTGAACTAACATTTATAATTAAATTACCAACTAATGAAGTACATTACAAATTTTTAGTAACTAATTCAAGAAAAAACTTAACTTCTTACAAGATTCGCGATATTGGATTTTAAAAACACAAAAATTGCTAATTATTTTTATACACTCATTAAAATAAACACTCACCATCGAAGCTGTAAATGGCAAAACTTTATTTTCTGTATTCCAAGCTACAAAATAAAATTTCATTAGAGATTCAAACATAGAAAAAGGATAATGAAATCTGTAACAGACACTTAAGAATGAACATAAAAACAAAATCTTAAAGCTAATGAAATTTCTGACATAAAATATCAAATAAAATGAGAAAATATAAACATGTTAAAATGTATAAAGTATGAACATGTTTGTAAATAGTTAAATAATTTCTTGACTTTCAGATTATATTTTTCAAAAATATAGATCAATGAAGACCAGTTTTTTAATTTCCAAAAAAACAGCAATTCCTGTTAGAGACATGATGAAAAAAATTAGTCAAGAACAAGCAATTAATGTATTAAGATGTATGAATAATGTAATGTAGTAATATTGTATTTCTCATCAGAAAAATCAGAAAGTGAGATGAATGAAAACTAAGAAAAAAATACATTTAAATTCTAAAAAACAGCACTTCATGTTAGACATGAGACAAAAGTATGAAAGAACAAATAGTTAAATTTGTTGGCATTGTAAACTTAAAAAATATTTCATTTTCTTAGAATAAAATATCCTTGAATTTTAACAAATAAAAACAAATGACTCTTTGTGTTAGACATAATACATAAAACCATAATGGAACAAGCAGTTGAGAAGTAAATCATAGTAATAAAGAAATTCCAAATACCATGTATTTCCGAATATAGGCTGAGAATTTTCAGATGCTAAAGTTGGAGGAAGGTGAACTATTAACTTCTAAAAATCTCTCCTGACAATGCCAAGAAAAATACTTTTCCGTTGGCCATGTATTAGTGATAGACTGTTACTGTTAAACATTGCAAAACAGCACATACAAACCTTATAAATACAGTCGAACCTGTTTATCTCGAATCTCACGGGAAAGGAGAACAATTCGAGATAAAGAGGTTTTGAGTTATACAGGTACTTTAAAAAAATTTAATTTAATTAAGAAATTGTATTAAAAGTGCTTTAATTGTTTTTAGTAGAAAAATATAGACATTTCTTTAAATTAATTATACCACATACATCTATTTACATAACAGTTTTTTACCATACATAAATGAACTGAAAATAATTTTGTCCAAGATTTTTGACGTATAACCTTATTTGTTTCGATTGTTCTTTTGAGGTTAGAAAGATCGCAAATTCCTCATAGCCAACATTTTCCTGGAATTCATGAGCAGTTTATAAGAATTCTACAACTTTTTCGACTTCTTTTGCATTCACTTTTGATTCATCAATATGATCTTCAGCTTCTTCCTCTTTATCTGATATTCCTTTGACATTATCTATGATTTTCGCACCTGTCAATGTTCTGCAAGTTACCAGACAGTTGTCCACTTGTAAAAATCTTCAAAATTAATGTCAACATTAAATCCAGATTTTATTGCATTCCATTCTGGAAAATCTGGCACTGCATTTTCAGCGTTAACAGTTTCTTCTTCTTTACTGATGCCTTTAACCTCTTATTCATCATCTTCACAGCTATTCTTAAAACCATTTTGGATAGTTTTTAGAGATACATTTCTCCAAGCAAAACAGTAATTCTGACAGCATCTAACTTTTTTCATCGATGGCATCCACAAGTTTGCGCACCAACTGTTTTCTACAGTTTACTTTAAAACTCTTAATTATTCTTTGATCCATTGGTTGCAATTTTGAGGTCAAAATGAATTTCTATTTTTAGCCTTCTTATCTATGTTGAAAAGCTAACCCCTGATGGTCACTACTCATTAATCCCTCTCTTACTGCCATAATCATTGTATTCCTTTCAAGTTAAGGAAGTGCAGGAATAGTGATTGAAATTCCAAGAAACACCCCAACCAGTTCATCCCTATTTCCTGTGGATTCACGAAATTCATCTCTGTCTACGAGTTCTACAGATAAAGAAAGTTTTGACATTTGCGCTCTATTATTAGAAATTCGAGAAAAGATTTTGAAAAAAAAAATTCGACATAAACATGGAAAATACATTGATTTTAGACAGTAAATGTAGGGAATTTCAGAAATTTTGAGATATAGTGGTTTCCGAGATAAAGAGGTTCAACTGTATATAAAATGAGAGTTTGGAAGGAAACACACGAAATCCTCAATAAGGAAAGGTATATCTACTAATACTACTCGTTTTACAACAACAACAATTAGATAAGCAAATGAAAAGAAACAGTTAATACAGTAGTAAGCTTTTAAAGAGTTAACTTTATCTGTAATAAATATTACAGCAGTTCAGTTCTAAAGAATTTTTTAAAAAGTAAATAAAAGCGAATTTTAGTATATTTTGTAAATCTAGTCTTAACCAGTTTAGTACAACAGTATTTGAGTAAGTTGTGAACTTCATAAATTTTTTTTAGCAGTTTTAAAGTATTCACAATGCTATATCTGACTATATAGGAAAAGAATATAGAAAATATTACAAGGTTCTTGAACAAGAAATAATTAAGAATAAAAAAATTTAATTTATAATATTCTAATAATAAAAGAATGACACTTATTATATATACTAGAGGAGTAGAAAATCCAATACTAACAAGTGAATAAATTGCTATTTAGAAATTCTACTAACTATTAGAAGTAAAATTTTAATAGGTAAGACTGGTTTTTCCTCAGAAATAGTCTGAATTAAATCCAATTTAGAAATACAACTAAACTGTTAGAGAAACAAATTTAAATGGGAAGAACTATAAATTTCCCACACAAATTTATAGTTAAATCTGAATTATTCCTGATTTAGAAATACTACTCAACTATTTTAAACACAATTACAACAGGAAAAAACTTCTTGCTTTTTACATTAATGAATAATTACGTCTTAAAAAATTCTAATTTAGAAAAACTATTATACCGGTCAGGGATTTTACACCGTTCATCCAACACAAATATTAAATGCGCGAAAATACAAAACTTAAAAAATTGCGACTTTCAAATAAACTAAACCGCAACTCTCGCTCAGTAAACAAACTTATTTCAAAAAGCCGATGAAGATACTTACCTTTGGTTGTGCATTTATTTCCCATAAATAAAAAAGTTTAAAATTTAAGTATTACCACACACGTACTTACTCAACAAACGCCGCAGAAACATTAAAATGCATGCGCTAAACACTGATCCAGTAATCAATAGTACGACTTGTTTCCACCGCATTAATGAATTTTTATTAAGAGAAAAACTTATAAATAACAAGGAATGGAAGCTAAATTTATCACGAGGCGGTAACGTCAACTACGCGGCAGTTTTAAAGGTCATAAAGTTGCTATTGTGTTTACATAACTATAGTCACGATTTTTAAGTCAAATTTCCTAAACTAAAATAATAAAGCGACATACTAAAGTTTAACTCTCTAACTTTTCAAACTTTACACGTTAAAGATAGTATTTTAAATTACTTACTCGATTCGAAAGTATAAATTGTTTAATTATTTTTATTATTTAGATAGACTACTTGGATGATTGATGATTTGTTTCCGGTTGCCTACTTCTACCCAGATCAGGCTGTTAAACTGCATGGGCGTTCACTGTGACCGAGAATTTAAAATTCTGACATATGACCATGGAGTAGTCATGCATATGACTAAAAAAAAGGTCATAGGTTCGATACTCTCGAGGACAGACTAACAGAATGCCAAATGCCTGCAATAATGATACTTGTTGTTGTTGCTGTTGTAGTTCATTTACGTCGCACTAGAGCTGCACAATGGGCTATTGGCGACCGTCTGGGAAACATCCCTGAGGATGATCCGAAGACATGCCATCACAATTTTGATCCTCTACAGAGGGGGTGGCACCCCCGCTTCGGTAGCATAACGACCTGCATGTGAAGTCGAGGTCAGTGTGCGGGTGGGTGACCACTTGGATTAGCTTGCGCAGGGGCTGAGGGTGTGCGGTATTGGACCTCGTTAAACTGTTCTACCGTAAAGTGCTCGACTTCGTGCGCAGGTCATCGGGCTACCGAAGCGCGGGTGCCATCCCCTCTGTAGAGGATTGTGATGGCATGTCTTCAGATCATCCTCAGGAATACTTCCCTGACCGTCGCCAATAGCCCATTGTGCAGCTCTAGTGCGAGGTAAATGAACTACTACAACAATCTTACTGTAGGAGCAACGATGGTCTACCTAATATGGTTCCCCTGAAAGAGTGGCCCGCAAATCTGCCCAGTAAACGCCTGAATCGCCGAAATGCTAACACAGGTGGGCATTGGAAATAAAAATTATAATTTTTTTTCTCATCATTTGATACCATAATGCACAGATTCAATTAAATGTAAATCTAAATCGCATTTTTTTCTGTTATAAGTAATTTTTTCATACGACAAATTTTAAAAATACTTTTAATCAATTTTTAAAAAAGTATTTAAGAAATACTTTTTTAAAAATTTATTTCTCAGGAGCTATTCGACTGATTTCGCTCAAATTTTGTATTTTGTCATTTAAAATGATGTAAATGTGTATACCTTACAATTCAAAAGTTTTTCAACTATTATTTAATGAAGTAATAAAAAAAAAGTAAATATTTACTAAAAGTTATATTTTGCATGAATTGTCTTTAGAAAAACGAATTTTATAGTTGTATGTCAAAATTTTCCAATTCGCTTAAAAAGAATTTTTTTCTCTAATGGCTGGCACTGAACTTTTACGTCCTTCGCCTAGGAAGATGCTGGAAGGATAACTCATTTAACGTTACCCAGTGGGCACCTGTGAACCTATGTCACGGGAGGCGAGCAACAAAACCCACGCCACACTGCCATAGATACCTGTGCTTAAAAAAAAATAAAATAAGAAAAAAATATAAAAAATAAGAAAAAAAAGATAAAAAATAAAAGAAAGGAAATACACAAAAAGTAAAATTAACATTAAAGGGTCCAAACTTCGGTCTGCGCTCCTGACCGAACTATTGGGACCATTTCTCCCAGACTGCTGCTACGCCATACATTTTAGGAGTCAAAAATTCAAATACATAGAAAAAGCATATTTGAGGTCTCCCTCTCAGATCATTAAGATTGAGTCCCAGAACAGGAAGATCCGATCATTAGATGAAAAGTTATTCAGGGTGGTCCGATTGTTTTGGCGCACTGTACATTTACAAAACAAAAACAATTTAATTCTAAATGATTACAGTAATATTTTCTCTTTTCCATTTTGTACGAAATATATCTTTGGCAAAATTCCTGCCACAAATAAATAAATAAAATCTGTAATATACCAAAAATAAGTAAACAAATAATAATTTTTTTAAAATTAAATTTTTAGCAAGACTTATCACTTTATTTTACTTCTGGTATTAATTCCACACGGATGATTTGTTGCTTTTAATGTATAAACCCACAGTCTTGCTATTTGAAAACGTAGAGTATAAAGTAACTTCATACGTAAAGTTTTACGACAAATTCACTTTCTTGAAGGACATTAGAATTGAAACAAGATCACATTTGCTTTACATTAGTAGGAAAAAAAAAAAAACTCGAAAATATTCCACGGTTAGCCCGACGGCATGAGTACTCTCACCCATGATGACATAATTTTTCTGCCAATGGAGGAAATGTATATCGGGACTTTGTTGTCAGTGGAAACCGAGAATAGTATACGAATTAACATGGGGTCTCACCTATGGAAAGTGAGGGCTAAATCACTTATCACATAAGCCATATCTGCTCTAGATTATTTATTATTTAAGTTGTGAGAAACAAAGGAAAATTTTAAATGCAGTATTATAAATTTTGTTATAATGTAAACTTACTATACGCCGATCAAAAGAGTTGCTGAGCAGTTCTGTCATTCCATCATTTTTTTTTGAAAGAGTGGTACAGAAAACAGTGGTACAGTAGTGGCAGAAAAGAAACAAATAATTAATTTAAAAAGAAACAAATAATTCAATAAAAAAGAAACAAATAATTGAATCAGGTTTTTTTTGTATTATTTTTTAAATTAAAAAGAGAATTGTATTCCTGATAAGTAGGAAAATTATTTCTGGTGATACAGCACATGCGTTTTAAACTTAATAATAATCGAGCACATCCTTATCTCCTTATTGTCTCTTCAGAAGATAACTTGGTAAGTATAGGTATTACAAGTCTATTTTAATATTTTAACTCATATATGAGCATTTATAATTGAATTCAATAGATAATATAAATATATACACTATAATTAAGAGCAAATTAATGAAGTGAAAAACAAAGCATACTTATTACTTTAATTCTTCCAAATAATTTAAAAATGGAATTCCTTAACGTTTAATGGTGTGACGTTTTTCAAAATTCTTTTTTTTATTAAATGAGGGAAAAGGGGGCTTAATCTAATAAAAATCCAGTATCCAGAAACTTAAGAAGAGATCATAAGTTGATGTTTTTTTTTTAATGCAGATGTCTTTTTGTTAGAAGTTAATAATTGAAAATTATGTTTTATTCAGAAAGCACATGAAATTTTATAGTTACGTCAAATAAATAATTCCAAAGGACTTTACTGCAGCATTCTATTGAAGAAGTTAATAATTATTAACAGCGGTTTGTTACAAATGAAGCATTTGATATACGAATTTTCTTATATCCTTTTGTACCCTTTTAAACCGATAACAGTATGAGTGAGCCGAAAAAATGCCGACAATACAGTGTTGAATATTTGAAGTATGGCTTTATTTCTTCACCAAGAAATAGTATTTTACCTATATGTCTTCTATGTGAGAAAACTGTTTCATATGATTCAATGAAACCTTCCAAGATTAAGAAACATTTAATAAAAAATCCTTAGGGCAAGAAAAAGATAAGGATTCAACGTTTTTTCATACAGTCAAAGAAAAATATTTGAAAACTACGCCATTGCAACAACTCATAAGGACAACAATTAAGCGAGATGATGATGGACCTTCTTGCTTCTTATAGCATTTCTTTGTTGATTGCAAAGTTCGGAAAGCCGTACCCTCTTGGTGAAGAACTTATTTTACCGGCTGTAAGTGAGGTAATACGCACCGTGTTGCACAAACCAGTTTTTGATATTAAAAAAGAATCCCACTTAGTAATACCGTTCAAAAAAGGATTGACGAAATGGCTCAGTATGTAGAAAATTCTTCATGTAAGTACTTCAAAACATCTGATTTTTCTATACAGCTTGACGAGTCCATTTTACCAGGTAAAGAACTTTTACTATTTAATTTATGCAAGATTTGTAGAAGAACAAGTTTGCCAAGAATTGTTATTTGCTAAATGTTCGGAATCTGATACGAAAGGTGAAACTTTATTTATTGAATTAAAAAGATTTTTCAATGTAAAAGCTATACCATTGACTATTATCTTTTCTGCTGCTACTGACAGTGCTTCGGTAATCATAGGAAGATACTGAGCCTTTCTGGCATACTTAAAACAAGCTGTACCGAATGTATTTTTACTACATTGTGTCATTCATCGACATCATTTAGTCTCAAAAAATCTTAGTGAACGTTTGCATGGATCACTAGATTATATAATTAAAACAGCTTAAAAATCAAAAGGAATACCTTCAATGAGAGATTATTTGCTCAACTTTATTTAGAAAATAACGAAGACTATAATCATTTACTACTTCACATGTACGTTGGTTATCTAAAAGTGCAAGTTTAAATCCATTTTATGCTCTCTTTGATTTAATGTTGAAATTCCTGGAAAGCAAGGACAATGATTTGCGACACAATTTGACTAACTCAAAAGCTTACATAGCCTATATCACTGCTTTCTTTGCAAAATTTGACAAATTTGAAACTTCAAGGTTGACCAATCAAATTTAATTAAAACTAAAAGTGTAATATCTGCGTTTGTTTCAAGCCATTTTCTGTACAAACAAAACTTGGGAAGAGGAAAATGTTTTCAGTTTCCAAATCTTTCGAAAATGCAAAATAGAGATAAAGATTTGCTTGTTTCCCTTAACCGCTCTTTATGCGGACATGGACCAAAGATTTGAAAAAATTTTTCACTTGGATATTCCCTACCGGGTGTTGAATCCTTTTGAGCGTGGACAAACCCAGATGAATCCATACTAATACAGGAGCATTTTATAGAAATCTCTACAAATGAAGAACTTAAACTAATGTTTGAACAAGAATGCCACAAATTCTGGTTACAAATACAGATCCCAATTTTATATCCTGCAATCCGGGTTACTGTACCTGTCTTCTTATCTGGTTGAACGTGAATTCAATGTCGTTGTAAATCTCATTCAAAAAAAGAAGAAAAAAAAAACTGAGTAAAAATTAGTGTTTGTGGGGATTCGTGTTTGCTACTCACAAACATTGAACCGGGATGGACACAAATGCATTAAAAAAATCTCATCACGTTCATCCAAGTCATTTATTTTTTTTTAAAATTTTATTTTATACAATAGTTATAATTTCAATCAGTACTTCTTTATCGATTTTTCTTTTAATTTGTAATTTTTGTGCTATGCATTCATGCAGCTTTTTTACTTGG